GGAGGCTAGCGCGGGGCTAGCGTGGGGCCGACGGGGGCTTAGGAGGCTAGCGCGGGGCCGATCGGGGGCCTTAGGAGGCTAGCGCGGGGCTAGCGTGGGGCCGACGGGGGCCTTAGGAGGTTAGCGCGGGGCCGATCGGGGGCCGTGAGAGGCTAGCGCGGGGCCATACGGGGCCTTGAGAAGGAGGCGCTCGAGGCGCAGGAAAAGAACGGCGGCGCACGAGGGCGCGGCTAGCGGAAACGGTGGGCCCTATCGTTTCGGTCCTAGGTGGAACCTAGGCTCGTAATACCATGTCAGAATGAGAAACGAGAATGAGGAGTGACTAGCAGGAACAACAGTACAAATATGTCAAACCCTAATCTGGTGTACCCCTTATGGTGTAACCCACTACAGCCTAGAACCACACAAACATATAAATGTTTGACAGAGACTTAATATCTCATATGCGCCAAAAGCTATCCACCTCTCAGCGGCTAAGTATGCGGAGGAGCTTGGGAAACACTTCAAAATTTCACCTGCACCGCTCTCCACTCCTTATCGCACTCCCGGACCGAACCACAAACCTGACAACAAAGCCCTATACCCTGCTCGAATCCAAACATACCAGCAGCAGCTGGGATGCCTGCTCTTTGCCTCTGTCACCTGCACGCCCGACCTTTCCTACATCGCGAGCCAGCAGGCTCAGTACTCTCGCAAACCAACGGCTGAGAACCTTCTAGATCTGCAGCGCGCTCTACATTTCTTCGCTTCACGCCCAAGATAAGGCTCTGCTACTCAACAGTGCCCACCCCATCCTTCAACCTCATCTGCTACGTGGACGCTTATGACGCAGCCGACCCCGACAATCGACGGTCCAGGACTGGCTACCTGTTCCGCCTCGAGCCGACGGGACCAATCTCGTGGAACTCGCAGAAACAGGAGCAGGTTGCCATGTCATCGGTCGAAGCGGAATTCATCGTAGCAACAGCACCAGTTCGCGATGGCCTTTACTTGCAGAAACTCCTGCAAGAGGCGAAACTCCTATTTTCGCCCACCTTTCGCCTGCACTGCGACAACAAGAGTGCGATCCCCATCGCAAAGAAGCCCGGATTCATCAACCGCACCAAGCACATTGCGCTGCGGTATTTCTTCGTCAAGGACGAATTGGACAAAGGCAAGGTCAACATGACGTACTGCACGACGGGTGACATGGCAGCAGATTTTCTGACGAAGCGACTGCCACGCCAGCAGTACCAGCACTGCTCCGAACTCAGCGGGGTGGTCAAACAGGTCAAGTCAAGCCACGGCCAGGAGTTTGTTTATGGCAAGGGTACATGTACCCCTTATAATACATGGTTAGCTAGGTCGTTTCGAATTCCCCTGTACTCATATTTATATTTGTTGCATTTCCATGTTTTAATCATCTCAAGCAATTTGCATTCATTCTGCTATTGAGGTCAAGGGCCTACCACCACTACCTAGAGGTGTGCGAACCTTCCTGAGGTGATCCTAGGGGCGATCAGTTTCTGATCGCTGCACAAGCTAGCTTGTGCGATGCTGGCAGCAAAGCTCACGCTAGTCCCGAAGCGTAGGCCGACTTGGGCCAGCCCAGCTATGCGTGGTTTGGAAATTGTTACGCATGAAGTCGGCGAAACACTGTTAGAAGTAACGAGCGGAGATCGGTCGGTCCAGTACGCAGTCATAAGGTGCTCAGTAAGGACTGTTGAGAAAATCATTTGAAAGTACTCAAACACATAAATAGAAGCCTGCCGTACGTACACACAAATGAGTGTGATGAAGTACAGAGATGTTTTCTAATGCGAGCCTCGAAAGCAGTCAAACGTATCGATAGATACTGGCAAGATTTGTATAGTGGGTAAGGGCGCCCATAACCCCCCAGGCCAACGTGCCTGTAACCCTTCCCTAGAATCAATCGGGGATCTCCAATGCACCTCTCACACGTCTGTCCATATTGTCGCATCGTAAATTCGTTATTCGACGCACCATTAAAAAACAAAATCCCAACACATGTAGAGTGGGTGGGTAAAAAAAAGGGTTTCATGCTTTCAAATACGGTTTGAAGTTCTGACTAGCTGGCAGCGATTCTGGGAATAAATGGGATTAGATATTATGGATAGAAATATCTGATTTAATCAAAACATATATCCAGAAACCCATTTTGTTAGAAATAACACTTCCATGCTGTAGCCCATTCTAATATTGCGTCAGCTGGGTTCGGCCTACTCCCGAGGCGCCACCGCCTCGTTCACCAACTTTCCGAGCCTCTTTGACCCCAGATGACATATCTATTCTGCCCTATTTTAGGCGGTTCTAGGGGTATTCTCTAACTCGGACCTTCCCACAGGATTTCATTGAAATCCGCGCACTCATTGAATGCGTAACAAATTCAATCAGTTCATCCAGTGGGGCATTGACTGATCTCGACTCAACTACAGGCACCCTCCCCGTCTTGGTCTGTACTGTGAACAAGCCTGTCGAAGTTCCTGGGGCCCATACTTGCGTTCCCCGGCTCCTCCCCATCTGACCCTGTTTGGGTGTAGCTGAGCGTTTGGGCGCCCTTAACGGTCACGGGCGCACCCCAAAGTGAAAACTTGAAATCCGGGCTTGTGAAGAGTTTGCACTTAGATGCTAAGGGGAAAATCCACCCCTCTCGTGCAACTTAAGGAGAAAGAGGGGGGGGGGGGGGGGGGTGGGTCAGACAGATTTTTTTTTGGGGGGGGGTCCTACAACCGGAAACTAAAACTTTGAGACAGGGGAAGGCCTGGTTTGGGCACTTAGTGGCACGGGTGCTGTGCGAATCTAACACTTTATGCAGTCGAGCTGGAGCGAAAGTAGTCTAGAATGTTCAGGGCATTAAGGGCATATGCCCTTGAATCGACAGGCCTGGCTGTGAATTGTATAGGTTCAGCAACCTACCCGGAGGATCTCCCAGTTCAGGGCGTCTTTCCGCACAGTTCACTTCTGACAGAACAGAAAGTTCTGGTTTCGCTTCCACCCCAGAGGTAGAAGTGATTTCAACAATAAAACCCAAGTATTCTGCCCAATTGTTTCTTCACGGACAGATATCACCACCATCATTCCCGCCCCGACGAGCAGAGCCTTTGTCCAAAGGACCAAACCACCCGAATCCACCACAGTACACACTATCTGCTTGTGTACAAGTAAGCAGTAATTTTGCTAGGGTACTGCAGTGTGAATGGTCGAGAAAAAAAGAAACAAACGGTGAAAATGGATGGATTCATCCGCAATCGTTTAGCTAGCGTCCCTCATCTTCGCCCAACTTTGGATGCCAGGGAGACCCTGTATTGATCACCCACTGCTTCCTCAGGAAAGCAAAGACAACACCGATCACATCATTTACACCATTGCCACACCAGAGATAAACGAAACCAACCCAGAAAACGGTCTCGCAAAAATGCGTCCTTCTGTCATACCTCATAAAAAGATAAAACAAAACCCAACTCACCCCTCCAAACTGAACCGAGTATTGATCACTTTAATTGGTGAACCGAGTATTGATCACTTTAAATCTCCACCTGCAACAACTCTGTGGAAAGTTTAAGTTACGTCTTGAATCAGTCCGAAAGGCAGGGTTCGTGGAAAACAAAACGGATTGCACTGCTTCTCCGCGGATGTTCTCTTCTCATGTGGCAGGTGGGGTACCTACACTATACAAATTTCAGTAGGTTCATTCGACTGCCAGCTGACGCTGGCAGTCGAATGAGCTGGCAAGCTGAACGCGGGTAAGGAAAACAAGAGGCGACGAAATCGTCTTAGGGTTGCGAAGCAACACTTTTAACATGCGTTCTAATTTTGAACGACTTTGATTACTTCGCCGTATTTATATTGAAATGAATTGTGCGATTATCATGTTCTTTATGTTTTTGCCATATGTTTTTATACCTTTGAGGATAGACAACAAATTAATAATGATAATGGTGTATGATAATGATAATAAGTAGTAGTTGTGCTTGCAGAAGTTACATATTTAGTCTAGGTGGTTTCAGTGTGGTAAAGTACAATCAACTATGTAAGACCACATTGTTTCTAAAAAGGGATTTGTAACAAAGAAGAATCCGACAGGAATCGAATCTAAGATCTCCCGGGCGCTCATGAAACTTCGACACAACTACGCTACAAGACCTCTAATACTTAACAACTTAATTTGTTTTGTACTGATTTTGAGCGTGAGTTGGATTAGGGTTTGGTTTTATTCCTTCCTCCTTCCTCTCGTCGTTCTGTTTGGCTCCTGCTATTCACCCTCAGCCTACCAAGGTCAGAGACTTAAGCCGCCAGCTAGAACCTAGTTAGCAGATTAATGTCTCAGCCTAAACATCTACTTATCATCTCGAAGTACTATTCAAGTCATTGATAAACCCGCATCATTTCTTTCTTGTTGATTATCTCGTTTTGAAGCATTTTTCGACCTAGCAGGACGTTGTTTTCATTCGTTTGTTCTCAAGGGCCGCAACTCATACTCCTACGTTGTTTTGAAAGATTGCAACCCATTCCGGCTCAAATGCTAATTAGTAAGGTCTCCATTTTTTTATCTAGTACATAGGTTCATTTTGAAGCCATTATCGGTTGAAGTCTTTTGTAGCTGTTTGATTTGCTTCTATATCCCACCATCTGCTTCCAGGAACGGTCAAGCACATTGTTGCCTCACTCCCTCCTCTTATTAACGGTGAGTTTGTGTTTGACCATCATCTTGGGAAAGAGAGAGGGGGAGAGCAGGTGAGAACAGTAGAGTAGCGATAGAGAAAGCGAGAACGAAAGCGTGCTAGAGAACGAAAGAAAAGCTTCTGTTTGTTTGTTAGAATCTGCAGGGGCCTTGTAATCTTCATTTTGGTTTCATCTAAACTACCGTTTTTTTTTTGTTCATGTAGTTTTCTCCTGTCCACTTTCTATGGCTCTTCCTTACCCTTTCTTTATAGGCAACAGCAGATTAGTATGTGGTTTGTAAGTCGTATGTACTTGATTCCAACTTTATTCACTGATGTTCAAGTGTGTATCTGCTGATTCTTCCAAATTCGTTTTTCCGTTCGTTCTTTCTCGTTCTCACTCTCTCGTTCTCTCTCTCGCTCGTTCTCTATCTCTCTCTCTTTCTCTCTCTCGTTCTCTCTCTCTCTCTCTCGTTCTCTCGTTCTCTCTCTCTCTCTCTCGTTCTCTCGTTCTCTCTCTCTCTCTCTCTCTCTCTCTCTCTCTCTCTCTCTCTCTCTCTCTCTCTCTCTCTCTCTCTCTCTCTCTCTCTCTCTTTCTCTCTCGTTCTCTCAATTTAGTTTCTTTGGCTTCTATCTCTCGCTCGACTCTCACTCCCTCGTCCGTCTCTCTTCGTCATTCTTTCTTCTTTATCCTCTTGCTAACGTCGCTCTGCGTTTGTTTTGAATTTCCTTCTCAGGTGATATGTCGTAACTACCAAGCAGTCGAGGTCGTTTTGGAAAATAGAAGGATATTGTTTGTCGTTAGATCTTTCACTGTTGTTGATTATGATTTTGCAGCTCTGGTTATTTTTTGCTATTAGTTGTGTGTCTGTGCTTTTGTGTTTGTACGTGTATTTGTAAGTGTGCATGCGTGTGTGTGTGGTGTATGAGAGTGTGTGTTCATCTCATCTGTCATTGCAATATCAATGCATATCTGTCTATTTTAAAAATGGGGTTCATTTCTATCATTTCTCATTGGTTCATTGGCGCACTCAGTGACACGTGTGTTTGCCAATTAGAACTGGATTTGATAGAGTGAACCTCTTTTTTAAAGTAAACAGATTGTATTGTTTCATGTGCTAGTTGATTATTCAAAGAATTTGCTATCGACTTCCCCCCCATGCTAGGCAGGGGATGCGGTAGCCTAGTTTTTGGGTCGTTAACTATCACGCATTTGTATGATATACTGGTATGTGAGGAGAAGCGAACGAGAAAAATGGATGAACTATGAATGAAGTGAGTACAAATATGAAACCCTAATTAGGTTGTACCCCCTATGGGATACCCCACTATAGCCTACACAAATAAGTAAGCTATACTGTTCTGACACACCCCCATAAACAAAATAAGGGAGAACAAGGGGTCACAAGACCAGACAAGCAAAGCAAAGCAAAGCAAAGCTCAGGATGGATCACAAAGTCACCACACATTCCGAGCGCAAGGTCAAGGGCCACAAGGCCAGTTCGCATGCAAGATCATATATAGAGATATACAAGAGTCAAGCAAGCAAGAGCAAGAGTATATATAAGTCAAGGTACAAGCAAGGTCAAGAAGTGAGCAAGTGAGGCAAAACAGGCACAAGACCCAGCTGCGTGCAGCAACGCTGATGATCACAAGGAGCAAGTGCCTTGGTGAAGACATCAGCAGTGTTGGCCTCAGAGGCCACGTACGCAAGTCGCAACTGTCCACGCTGCTGCAGCTCACGAGCAAGAAAGTAGCGGAGAGCAATGTGCTTTGTCCTGTGCTCCAGTCGCTGCTCTCGACACAAGGCCAGCATGGCCTTGTTGTCTACATACAGGACTGGAGGAGAACGAGGCGGCTCTCCAAGGTCGGTCAGCAGGTAGGTGAGCCAGCGAAGCTCCTGAGCAGCCATAGCCCCGGCGTAGATCTCAGCCTCACAACTGGAGCCGAGAACAGAAGACGAGCGAGTAGCCCGCCACGAGACAGAGCCGGAACCAAGGCCGAAGGTGTAACCCTGTGACGACCGCTGCGTAGCCTGGTCGTCAGCCCAAGAAGCGTCCGCGTGCCCAGTGAGGACCACTGGACTGCGCCCTCCAAGCACTAGCCCCATGCCTGACGTACTGCACAAGTAGCGCAACACCCTCTTCGCTGCAGCCATGTGCTCTGGTCGGTGTCTCCTAGGAGCAACATAGCGTGCGAGAATGCTCAGAGGGTATGCAAGGTCAGGTCGTGTGCAGGTCATCAGGTACATGAGGCAGCCAACAAGCTCTGCATACGGGCCACTCGACTCTACGGACTCATCCGAAGGCAGAGCTGAGAGCGAGTGGCGAGTAGGCAGAGGAGTGGCCTGAGGCGAGGAGTACGTGAAGCCGAAGCGCTGAAGGACCTGCTGCACCATGTGTGACTGAGTCAGGGTAATGGTGCGGCGTGCTTTGTCCCGGGTGATCTGCAAGCCAAGGTAGCTGCGCAGTTCACCCAGGTCAGTGCACGTGTGTCTCTTCTGCAGCTCGCACTTCACGTAAGCGAGTCCAGCAGTGTCCGCTGTGGCAAAGACCAAGTCGTCGACGTACACGAGGATGTAGAACGGCGGCAGAGAGGTGTCGGTGCGCAGAAACAGCGACGGGTCAGCAGTAGAAGGAGCAAACCCAAGTGCCGCAAGCGTAGTCCTCAGTGTGTCGTGCCACTCACGTGGAGCCTGGCGGAGACCGTAGACTGGACGCTGGAGACTCCACTGGGTACCAGGAGGGAAAGACCCAGTGAAGCTAGGTGGACGACGCAGCCAGATCTCCTCGTGCAGGCTGCCCTGCAAGAAAGCTATGCTGAAGTCGAGAGAGTGCAGCTCGTAGTCACGGTGAGCAGCAACGTGCAGCAGTACCTGAAGAGTGGTCATCTTCGGGGTGTGGGAGAAGGTCTGAAAGTAGTCAACTCCATGCCGCTGACTGAAGCCACGAGCCACGTAACGCGCCTTGAAGACAGGCGGAGAACCCGGCGGCCGCTTCACCCTGAAAATCCACATGCCACTGACAATGTTCGCCCCAGGAGGGGGAACAGCGTCGACGTAGGTGCCTGTGGACTTCCAGGAAGCCATCTCTGCATCCATAGCTGCCTGCCACTGAGAGGAGTAGGGACCCTCTATCGCCTCCGCGTAAGAGCGCGGAGTCGGGATGTCTAGTGCATCCGGGTCTCCCTCAGGGGCTAGCAGTACAGACGCAAGATGAGGTGAAGCGGCGGCCAGACACTGGAACTCCTCCTGCCTGTCCTCAAGGACGTCCGTGCCAAGGGCACACTCACCCCCGACGGACGGAGGACAGGCAGACTCAGACTCACCGACAAGACTAGCAGCGTAGTCTAGACGACAGCGCGCAACAAAGTCGACGAGCTCAGTGACAAGGGCAGACGCAGCAGAAGACTCGAAAGAAGGGTCAGTGACAGCAGTAGCAAGAAGACGCGTGACAGTAGGACTGGCAGCACGAAGAGAGTTCGACTCCGGGTCGGCAAGAGCAGGAAGAGAGGAAGCAGGAGGAGAAGGCAAAGGGGCACGCAGAGGAGTAGTAGACGGACGCAGAGACATCCGGTGCGTGCCAGGGACAGGAGGAGGACGCTGACGCGAACCACGACCACTAGTGCGCGCAGTACAAACAGGCGACGTTGGACGAGACGCAGGCTCACGACGCTCAGTAAGACCTCCAGTCGGACCAGCGTAGGGAGAAGGAGCAGGCAAAGGTGAGGCAGGCTGTAGCTGTGACTGTGACGAGACAGGCTGTGGACCCTCTAAGGGAGGAGGAGGAGGACTAGGAGAAGGTGTAAGACCAAGAACCTGCTGCAGGAGCGGAACGAAGTACAGCCGGGGCCGCGCGGCGACGCCAGAAACAGCAGGGACAGCACCAGTACCCCCAGGAGGAGTACCCGCCTCAGCAGCACCTCCAGTAGCTCCAGAACCTCCAGCAGCACCACCAGGAGCACCACCAGTCGGACCTCCAGCGGCAGTCTCAGCGTCAACACCCTCAGCAGCACCAGCTCCAGGAGAACCCTCAAACCCAGTAGCTCCAGCACCCACAGTACGAGCACCGCCGGGACGCTTGGCAGCAGTACCCTCTGCAGCCGAAGAACCTCCAGCACCAGCAGCACGCCTCTAGCGCCTGGCAAACCACTCACGTAGCTCCTGAGGGGAGAGTGGCTCTCGGCGAGACGAAGCACCTCCAGGCGGAGCACCCCCAGTCTCAGCACCTCCAGGCTCAGCACCCCCAGGCTCAGTACCCCCAGGCTCAGTACCCCCAGGCTCAGTACCCCCAGGCACAGCACCCCCAGGCTCAGCACCTCCAGGCTCAGCACCCCCAGGCTCAGCACCCCCAGGCTCAGCACCTCCAGGCTCAGCACCCCCAGGCTCAGCACCCCCAGGCTCAGCACCTCCAGACTCCGCACCCCCAGGCTCAGTACCCGCAGGCGTAGCACCTCCAGTCTCAGCACCCCCAGGCTCAGCTCCCGCAGCAGCACCAGAGTCACCAGTGACCTCGACAGGCTCGACCGCGTCTACCTGGGACACACCTGAAGGGGCAGGACCCTGAGGGGGAGGGGGACTACCGGGGGGGGACCTGGTACCAAGAAGAGCGGGGGCGGGGGGAGGGACGGAGTGCGGTAGGGGAAGAGGCGGTAGTAGGGCACCGACTCGTCGAACGTGACGTCCTGGGAGGACAGAACACGTCGAGAGGTGGGGTGGTAGAACTGCCACCCAGGGGCGTCGGGGGGGAACCCCAGGAAGACGCAGGGAGCAGCGCGAGGGGACAGCTTGTCCGCAGACAAGTCGCGGACAAACGCCCGAGATCCCCAGACCCGGAACGCCGACGCATCGCCAACCTTCCCCGTCCACAGAAGGGCTGGGGAGGTCTCCGGCCTGGAGACCCTGGGGTGGAGGTTGATCTGATGCGCCGCGTACCTGACCGCAAACGGCCACAGAAAATGGGGGGCAGCCGCATGCATCATAGACGTACGAGCGACGTCCATGACCATGCCAATGCGGCGCTCTGCAATCCCATTTTGCTGCGGTGAGTCCGGAAGCGTGAAGGTCTGGCTAATGCCTCGCGCACGACAGAAGGCACGCAGAAGGCCAGAGGAGAACTCTCCGCCTCTGTCCGAGTGCAGACGCAACACAGGAAAGTCCGAGCCAAAGCTCTGCCTGAGCTGGAGACGAGCTGCGCGGATCCAGTCGATCAGCACCTCAGTGACATCACCCTTGCTGCGCAAGGGTAAGACTGTGGTGTAACGCGAGTAGTCGTCAACCACCAACAGGAAGTAGCACTCGTGACCGAGTCCACGGACGCGGGCAGGGCCCCACACGTCCATGTGAAGCGTCTGCAACGGAGCCTCTGTCGGAGGAAACTGGGAGGAGTGAGGGGCAGCACGCTGGCGCCCCTCGACGCAGGGGACACAGGCAGGGCCAGGGCCCTGAGGAAGGGGAGGGAGGGACCGGGGGGGACCAGACACAAGAAGACGGGAGGCCATGCCTCTGAGCCGAAGCAGAGAGGGGTGGCCAAGGCGGTGGTGCCAGAGGAGAGTCTCATGAGACAGACGGCGACACAAACAGGGGGCAGACTCAGGACCAGACCTGGAC